AGTTTCAGCGGTGATGGTGACTTACACTCCTGCTCACGGGTCTGAACACTTAGTGAACGTAATACAAGAAAACTTGTTGTGATAACAAGCGTAACTCGCTGCAGGGAGCACGGGGACCATCTACACTGGGGAAACGCCAAACCGTTTTTCTGATTCGTAGTGTATTCGGTGCAACTGAAGTGAGAGAGCCGCAGACTATAGACAAATTGTGAAAAAGCTAATTCCATTGAACTTTGTTTCAGATGACTTCTGGCAATGTCCTTTCTCCTTCCTTCCTCTAGAAGCACTTTGCTCTTACTCATAGCGACAGAAAACGAAGCCTGGTGAAGAAACTATGTGGTCACGTAGCAGCCTGCCAGGATGATTTTGTCCTGACGTTGGCTGTCAGCCCGTGCACCTGCTCCCAGCCACACTGTCTCTCCTCATTACCTAAATCTGTCATTTGGCCCCAACCGCCACACGTGAGGCAGTCTCGTTGCCAGCTAAGGCAACGGCTGACAAACACGCATCATCACCAGCAAAATAACTGCATCACAGCACTCATAATCCGTGGCAGCGCGATGACCTTTGAAGATAACTGGGACAAGAAATCCATGGCAAAAAGCAAGTAGAATGGTAGCTTAGGAAGTGGTGAGGCTAACACTGTAGGCATTAAAAATGACACACATCAAGTACCTAATATGCATTAGCCAGCATGTAAATTTGCAGAGCTAGTCACGGTGATTTCAAAAATTACTGTTTCTGTTTGAAACAAGCAACGTGAAGATAGACATTTTTTTGGCTATCTAGGAGCTTCTTGATACCTATGATGATAATGATGGTTACTGGCGGAACTCTCCGCAGGGAAGAGAAACCCTGTTCTTTGGTACTGGTGCACACCTGGAATAACACCGCTTCCAGCTGTAGTAACTTTCTTTTGCTTCAGTAGAAAGCAGAATCTGGAAGAAGGAATGGATGGAATAGCATTAGGGCAGTAATGTTTTTAGCAACTTGTGGTTCATCTCAGTACATTTCTGATTACTCTTTACAGAGCAAACAGTAATACGGAGTTGCAAGATTTAGCATCAGCAAACAGGTTCTGCGTATGTTCCTATCCACCCAGAGGACAGCAACGTCCAAGCAAGAGCGCGTAAAAGGCCTTCCCCTGCCTTTCTTCCCTTTTTCAAGAGACCATCCCATGCAGCCACAGTGTTAGCGCTACCCCACCTGGTTACTGCAAAGCGCTTAACTTGAAACTGCTTTGTGGGAAAGTAACAGGTAATGTGCGTTTGATCCTGCGTGGGACAGCCTCTAACTGACCGAGACAGAGAGCCCGCACATCAGTGTAGCACGTCTTCTACATACCATACCTACACTGACTTTCCACACCTCCCAGACACTATCATGGATCCAGAGCTGCACACTGCTGGGAGCTAGGAGAATATTCTGGCAAACTGCTTCTACACGCTTGCCCTCTCCTTATACAAGTTCACGCGTCTGCTCTTGGCCCTTGCCAGAGACAAAATACTGGGCTAGACAAACATTGAAGGTAATCCAGAACTGCTGCTCTTGTGCAATTGCTCTGACATAAACACCCAACTAGGTAACTTTTGTAGTGCTGGCATTAAAGCTGCAAACCACCCAAGTCGCTGAAGCTACCTACTTAGAAAATTACTCATTTCAACCTTCAGCAAGTCTTCTGTTCACCCGCACCAGGTGCGACTGGTGAACCCTGGGAAGAAACTCTCAGGGACGAGGACATGTTCTCAAAGGGACAAACGCGGCTGTCGCTCAGCTCCAAGATCAAAACTCAAGTGGGTTCTTCCATTTTCTTTCCCCCAACACAACTGAATGGCCTGCCAATTCTCTTCCTTGAAATAATAATAAAACACATTTATATTTAACAACTGAAAGACAACGAGAAGATGGCAAATGTCAGCTGTAGCACGGGAATAAAGCCATTAATGGGATACGTGCCCGGATCAATTGAAGACAGGAGAGTGAGGATAGGACCCAGGCACTTCTCTTCTGCGTGCAAGTCATTTGCTCACATTTCTAACTCCCTCTTGCAACTTTTGTTTCAGCACTGTTGTTTTACGAGCCATGCTCTCCAATCGGGTTTACATGCACCCACCTCACAGTTTGCCTCTGGGAAAGATAGGCACTTTATACTAAGGTTCTTGCACAATAATCTTTCTCCTTCTAATCTGGATTCCAGTTTTAACTATTCTGATCTCGTGTGTTAGCTTCACATGAAGATGTAAAAGCTGTAGAAAATGAAGGCCGTTATTTTCATCAGTGATACCGATAACCTGCAGTGACAGTTTTTCAGATTTCCGCAAATATTGGAGTAGTTAGGTTATAAAGACAAGATAAATGTTATGCCACTATCTTTTATTTGCTGTAATCAGTCAGCATCTGAAGCAAAACCAAACACCCTTCGGAATGCTTTTTTTTTCTATAGGAATAATCAGCACAATACCAAACTACAATTAATATCAAGGTTAGGTAACGCACTCTGGCATTAACGGCCCCCCCTTGAATTGAGGAAGGCTAACTAAAGAATGCACAATCTTGATAAACGTGGACAGGATTTTTGCGGAGTATGTGCGTGCATGCACACCACTAAAGAAAATACTCCCACTTCATAGTGCAGGCAGGCAAAAGCCAGACTTTTTATTTAAGTTTAAAATAACAAATACTCACCTACATCACAGTATACTGCTTAGTCTATCGCTTCTGCTTTGAATTCTGTGCTTTCATTTCACGTGTCTACATTTTGCAATTGTTTACACGCAGCAAAATTAACTTTGTGTATCGTTTAGCATCTGTGCATATCCTTTAGAGCTTAATGTTACAGAGAAATTAAAAGAAATCTTGAATTTTAACGTACTGAAAACAATCAATCACATTCCGCTGAAAAAACAGTATAAATGTTTCTTGGAGTACAGTACTCTTAATTTTATGTCAGTGCCATTTTAATGCCATAGTTTTCAATTGTTCACTGTATAAAGAGAAGCCTAGGGAAAAAAAATCACCTAAAATGCCACTCCTAAGTCTGTTAAACTCTGGTGATTTATGATATATGTACAGTATATAAATATATTTATGTATATATGTACATATATATTGGTTAACATTCATTATAAATAGAACTGTTTTAACTTAAGCAGTATAAAAATAGCCACTTTCCTGGGAACATGCAAACACAGTATGCTCTCACCTAATCTATAAAACCCAGAACAACCAAAACCTTTAGCTCTGGTTTTCTATAAATATAAATTCTAATTGAAGACTTTCAGCTGATTTAACCATAAAGTAAGTTTTTCCAGTAAAGATATAAAATCTGTTTGATGCTAGCTATAAGTAAGCTCAAACACAGTATATTTTGGGTTATTTACTTTCAAGTATTTTTCCCACGTGCGCTAAATCTAGACACATTGCATTTTTTTCTTTTACAGTAAAGTATTATTCAGCTCTAAACACTAAAAGCCAAATTACAGGCAATCTGGCATGCTTGCACTGCAGGGAAAAGGCTCTCCTCTACACTATTCCTATGTGGGAGGCTGTCCTAGTATGGCTATTTGTGCTCCAGATCTTTTGTTCATTGCAAAGCATTATCAGGGTTCCCATATCGTAGATTCTTAAGGCCAGAAGAGAGAGTACTACAACCACTTAAGTCTCATCTCCTGCTCGCTGAAATTCACTCCAAGGTCCCCGCATTCAGCACAGTGACTGGTAGCTGGACTAAAACACCTCTCCTGTTACAGCCAAAGAGGTTCCAGCTTCAGAAGTTTGAGCGAGATCTTGACTTTTTAGTGACTTTTCCCAAGGGGAAAAAATTTCGGTTCCATCTGAACCAAATGTGACATTTTTCCTTTTTTCTTGCCATATGAAAAACTGAAAAATTGTTTTGCCCTGAAACATCCCCTTCTCCTCCAAAGTGCTCTGAGTACTAGTTAGAAAAGCAAAAGAAGAAAAAGGGGCTACGTTCAAAGGTCACACTATTTCTGTTCCTCCGCTTAGCTATCAGCTCAGCAGAGAGCACACACTGGGTTGGACTGTGGAAGAAAGCGCCGAGTCCTTCTGCTGCTGAACAGATTTCAACCATCTACTAGGAGAATGCCATAAGCACGACTATGCCAATCATGGCATACGCTGACTCTTTTTCATTCCATTCCACATAGCTAAAAACCCACTCCTGCCCACTTCAGAAGGCAGAGGACCGAAATGCAGCCATCTCCCTTCCCTACAACCCCATCTCACCCAGCACTTTGAATTGGTCTTGCTATCTCTCAGAGTTTACAAAAGTATTTCATACAAAGACAAACAGCATGGAAGACTCAAGGCACACTCTCTTCAGGACAACATTTTTTTTGTGATTAGGGGACCTTTTAAGGAAGTAGGAAATGTGAATGTAAATGGCATGGGCAAAGAAGGGACCGGAGCCTTGTTCGTTCATTCCTAGAATTATTATTTGCACCTGCAAGTTACTGGGTAATAGAGGGAGGATCTAGATACTCCCCCCTCCAGCAGATCTATAGATACTGCTCTGGAAATGTTTTCCAAATTAAGATATTTGGTGTGTTTGGATTAAATCTGTGACTACACTTCTGACAATCAAAAATGCACATCCCAAAATTTGCTATGTCACCCAGTTGCAAGACAGGGCGTGCAACTAAATGAGTTGGATGTCAGTGAAGGCCTACTCTCTTGAAGATGCTGGATGGAGTTGCTTGTGCAAGCCTTTCTCTCTGGCACCTCTGAAAGTGGTACAACTAACTCCTTATCCCTCAAGCGAAATGGCCTAATGGTCCCAGCCACATCCTATATTTTTTCCCTATTCCCAGGGTGGCTCCCACATTTTTCCCAGAAGTCTTTTCTACGTCAGAAGTGATGAATCCTTGTTAAAGTAGCACAGTCTTCCAGCTTTTATGTTTTCATTAAGAAAATATGAGGCGTACTATTTCTTATGGTAAGTAGCATAAATGCACCAAAACAATGGTATGGATACCCCTGTATTAATTGTTTAGAGAGCTGTCATTGGAAGTTGGGGACTGGGAAGTCACAAAAGGCTCGTTTGCCTTCTGATCGTCCTTCATAGAGGCTGCTTGGTCTGAGATGGAAGAGAAGGAGAGCTGGTCATGTTCCATTATATGCACTTGGTCCTCTTCCTTGTCCTTCTTCACATAAAACAACTTCCTAAACTTTTTGAGCTCATGGAGTTCACAGAAAGTCTCGAGAACCACCAACATCGCAATAAGGCCCAGCAACAGATAACCTGGGTATAAAAAAAAAAAAAAAAAAGTGTTTTAATTATTAGCAAATTAAGTGGGGCTGGAACAGTTTTAACCCTGTAGCTTTTCCCACCCCGTCATCTCTAAATAGTAGGTTAATTTTTTTTATGATCCAGTTTCAGAGCTCTGTCAAATCCTTTTTTTCCTTTTTCATTCTACAATCAACAAGACCCCGCATAATCAAAAAAAGTAACACTAGTGGCTTTAATTCTGTTACAACTGTACAAGAGAAAAATATGTAAAGGCATTAAATGAAACAGAATACTAAAATTTACCACATGCACGCTCCCCCATTTACTTACGACCTTCCTGATTAAGTGCTGTTCAAAAGGTTTTTTTCCCTTAATATTCCTGCATGTTACAAACAGAAGTAAAAATATGGCAGGCTAATTATGGTTTTGTTGTTTGTACCAGTTTAGCAGGACAAATCCCTTTATATATTACTGAAAACTTTTAAATTATTTTCCTTTAAAATTATAAGATATCCAACACCCTGAAGTGAGTGGAAAAACAAAGCAACTAGAAATGTGTACAAAACCAATAAAAATAAAAATGAAAAATTACTGTAAAATTACTGCTGATATTTTAAAAACCTGACAAAGTTGCTATATCTGATGACACCTTGAAGATTATTTACAATGTTTTACTAACATACATAAACTATCCAAACTTGGAAGTGTTACTTAAATGGTATTACTGATGACTTCGGTGGTGTACTGACTCTGATTTTTAAAGGTAATAGTCAGCTCTCAGACTGAGACTTTTGGAAATGGAGCTTTGTATGGTTAACAGCCCACTGTGCTCTTTTTTTTTTTCCTCTCCAAACATATGCACCTAGAATTTGAGGGAAGGTGTCAAAATGAGCGTTTCTTAATCTCAATGTTTCATTAGATCCTGCTACTGATCACTACAATTTAAGGAGGAGCATGACTACTTGAATATTGTATCATTTCAATGAGTAAATCAAGCAGAAGCTAAGTGTATAATTATTAGTACAACGTGCTCATCCAAAGGCTGAACATTAAATGCGCTGAAAGATCAACACAGATTAATTATTATAATCTGCATATGGCCACTGTTCTGTTACCTAAAGGCATAAATATTTCACCTGTAGTTACAGATTGTTCACTGGCAATAACACTCTCCTTTTCCTTCCAGGAGCACCATTAAATCCATATTGCAATACCAGCTACTGATCTAAATCAGCACTACAACTAAAATTTATGAATTGTTTTTAAGCTTTATCTCATGCCATCAAATGGAAGCTATGCATTAACACAAGGAAGACGTGACAAAGCTATGCCAATTAAAAGGCATTACAAATCTGCACTGAGAATTTTGTAATTATCTCTGAAACCCAGTCTAGCTGATCACCACTTGAGTTAGAACAGGACTTGTGTTCTCCTAAAAATTATTGAAAAGCCTGTACCACTCATTAAGCATTTTCTGATGTAGAACTCCAAAACTTTTCTTGAAGAAAATTTAGGTTCAGCAAGATCAATCTTCAGCAAGATTTTATACATCCTGTTTGGTTCCTTGAATTGTTCACATGAAAGGAAAAAGAATAATTTAAAAGTTATGACCTTAAAAACTGCTGAAATTAAATATTCTAAGGTCATAACTTTGCCTAAAAGCCACTTTTTCCTTTTAGTATTTCCTGCAATTTATTTCCTAAGTGTTCTAAAGTTTGAAAAAGGATAACCTGAGTCATAATGTTTTCTTCTGATTCTGAGTTTTCAGGACGGCTAGAAGTTTTACAAGGCCTGACTTTTACGAGGCGTGACTTTCTCCATTCACTTCATCATTTAGCATCCCCAAATCAACTCTGCAGATCAGCAGGGTAATAATTAAAAGCTACTGCTGGTAAGATAAACACGATGGGTAGAGGGGGAAACCTCCTGCAGTGACAACAGGCCTGGCAGGAGAATAAAATAAAGTGTTCTGTTGACTAGTTCAAGGCCCTGCTTCAAGGAATGAAAATTCAAGGCCCAATCTTTCTTTAGGTAAAACACAAAACCAAGTTAATAGACACTTTGCCTACACTAACATTGCTAGATCATGCACAGGAGCACATACAAATGCAGACCAGCCTAAGAAATGGACCTGACAAGAAAGGTTTGTTTTGGCCGTTCAGATCTTTTAACCGGTGCGTCCGATGACCGAGGGCTGCACAGACTGAAGCCATATCAGAAACTGGGATGCTTCAAAACACTGTCACTGGAGAATACTGCCCTCAGCATACATTCATGCAGAATGCCAAAACAAAGATAATCTTCGATCAAATCACTGATCACTGTGCCTCTCTTCTGTGTCAAACATAATGAAACAATTTAAATTTAACATTTGTGGTCTTACTTTGCTATCATCTCAGTCCACTTGTCTCTCTTTGACAGCTGATATGTACCAGTGCCAGATTCAGCTACCTTCTTTTACAATTGGAGTCAGAAACTTTGCTATTCTGCCTCATTTCCCATTGCTCCTCGATTCGTCTCTGTTCACCTGTCAGCTCACCTTGAGATGACCTTAGGTTACAAGGATCATCTTCCTGGTTCTGTGATGCACTGAAATCTCAGCCCAAGATGCTCATAACCATGTTCATAACAGTAATGTGAGCATTTTTTCTACTATTAATAAGAGAGTAAGAAGCTATGGTTTAGCACAACGGAATTCTGGTTTTAGCTTTTTCTTTCTTAACGAAGAAAACTGACCTTATTTAAAGGTTTCCCCTTTGCACAGCTACCTACAATGCCCAGTTTGCTAGCTGACAGCTCACAAAACAATCACCATCCACAGAATGGAGAGGGAAAATCTGATTTTTTTTTTTTTTCCATAAAATGCCTTTTATTCAGCTGGTTAGTTTGACACTTACATGTAATTCCGATTTTATACAGCTCTCGGAATTTTTGATTGTAGCCTTCTCCTGGCACATAGTCTCCGAGGCCAATGGTGCTCAGGGAAATGAAACAAAAGTAAAAAGATTCCAAAAAATTCCAGTCATCTTCCAGAACAGAAAATATTGCTGCTGGGATTAAGAAGAAGCACGAGACAGTGATGAACCCAAGGACTATAGCGTGGATGATTGCAACAACCTGCTTGGAGAAGCCCCAGCGAATGTGGAAATACAGCACGGGCCGCCTGGTGACATATACAATGATACGCTGTACCACTGCCGTCAGGAAAAGCAGTGTAAATGGGATCCCGATGACTGAGTAGATGATGCAGAAGGCCTTTCCTCCATCAGATAAAGGCACTGTGTGTCCATAACCTGGAACAAAGCAGAGGAGGCATAGGCTGAGCTAAAGCGCAGAGCTCACGTACCAATTTGATATTGGCTATATGGTTTGAGAAAAAAATAACGCTTCACTATTGCTAATTCTGAATCCTGCTATTCTTGACAAATGCTTTTCAAAGGTCTGTTTTAAGCAGGCAAACAAAGCCTAAGTACTAGGAATAAGCAAGTAAAAATAAAAAATATTTTTATTTCAAAATCGTGAATGTAATTGTAGAAATGCTTATTTTGGAGAAGGAAGTAATGCCTAGACTGGAGTGGGAACCTATGCCAGGAAATCTATGTTTTATTCTGGGTTTACCTTTTTGTTTAGTTTTACAAAGTGATATAACTTCTTTTACCCACCTTGTCAAGTGGAATAATCCATACTTCAGAAAAATGTTCCTACATCTACTCTGTAGTAAAACACTGTAAGACCTTTTGTGAAAACCATTTAAATTACATAGAAGTATTATAATCAGCATTCCACGCTATATACTTCCACAAGATGTTTAGATGATAATCCATCAAAGATATCTAAAAGCAGAACAAACATTTTCACAGCAAAACTCCTGGGATCTAACCACTGTGGCTGGATTTTTGCCTAGTCATTTACACACTAGAAGCATCAATAGTGATCTGTTCAGAGCGCAGGCATATATCCACTGGTGTATAGGCTGATCACAGCCAGCCATCTCAATTCCACAAATGCGTGCAATTACACTTGTACCCAGCACCAGCAGCTACACTGCCAAAGCACACTCTGCCAGACAGCCTGGTTCTAAATGTAAATCATAGGCACAGAAGAGAACAGTAAATCCAGCATAAACCAGGAATGCTTTCTTCTGTTTGCCAACTAAAAAAATGAGTATTTTGTTTTCATTGCAGTAAGGAAGAGGAAATTGCTTGAAATCTAGTTCGGGCAGTCTTTACACTGGTATCAAACCAAGCAAGTGCAGACAGGCCCCAGTAATTCTGCAGCCCCAAATCTGCCAGCTCATTCGGGTTATGTTAGTGCTGTACAACGAGGCATTTTCCAGAGCTACTGCAACTAGCTACCTTGAGGAGCCCAGGCAGAGCCCAGTGCATACTGGGTTAATGCTGCTTCTCATCTCTGAACTGTGCTCACTCTGCACTCGCCCAGTCTGCCCAGTGCAGCACTGGACCAGGCAGACATTCCTCGAGGGCTCCTGGGAACCCCCTGCCTGCTTCCCTGTGAAACCAGCTGCTCTGCAAGCCCCTTCAGGTTTTATATGAACACAAGAGTTTTCCCCTCTGCACTAATGAATTTAACAGTAGAAGCATTGCTCTTTTAAGTTGTCCCGCGGAGTAAGAAAAGGAAATGTTCTTTTTGTTTAAGATGCATAGAGACACGTCCAGACAATGAAAGACGGGCAAAACGTCTTATCATTACAACGTACAAAGTCTTAGAGAAGAAATGCATGAGGTGTACTTTCTCCATGTTAGCTAACCCAACAGGAAACTTCAGTTGTATTTGAATTTTAATGACATTATGAATAATTTACCCAAGCTCAGTCTTTTGAACCCCAGAAAATTGTGTCAATTAATGGCTTTTTTCTTGCTCACCTTCTGTTTGCTTTATCCGCTTTGAGATAAGAGAACCGGAACTGCACAGAGCACGCCAGATGCAGCTGAATCAGATTTACGAAGTTGCAGAGAAGGTTTCTCACCTTGCATTCCACTCCATCCCTAATAACGCCAGACACTTGACTGGCATTTCTGACTACCACTGAGCGACACTTTCTTGGCCCTATCAGAACCCCAGGATCTTGCCTCTCAGAGGTGTCTGGGAATCTGAGAGTGCAGATCCCATCACTTCGTATGTGTGAACCATATGACTGGTTTTGCTGTGTGCGTGACTTAAGATTTTATCCACAGACATTTTCAAGTGCCATTTTATTGCCCAGTTGCCCTGCAGCTCTTCCATCATCCTTACTGCTTTAATAATTTAGTAATGTCTTTAGTAAACTTTGTTACCTCCCTCTTCTGGGTCATTTATGATTACGTTGAACAGCACAAGCCCCAACACAGGCCTCCAAGGAACAACCCTCGTGACATTCCCCTACTTCAAGAACTGACCCATTTTCTCCTGCTCTGTTTTCTATCTAAAAAATTTCCCTATCTCACATCCATATGAGGACCAGCCCCAGTTGCTTAGTTTTCCTGAAAGCACTTTGTGACAGACAATCAACTCCAAGTTTGGAAGAGAAGAAACGTGTGTGTTTTGAGTAGATCATAGGACATCTAAAACTGACCCATGTGACACAAATACAAAAAAGGCAACTGCAGTGTTCCACCACATCAAGGTGTCTTCAGTAAAGCAGAACTAGAGGTGTGTTACTTGAGTAAGACGCAGATCCGACCTCATCTGGACTAATCTACCTCATTCTGTATATCCACACTTAAAGAATAAATTCACACTGGAAGAAGAGCAGAGAAAGGTTACTGAAACCATCAGGAGAATAGAGACTATTTTATGAGAGGAAGATAAAAGTGGTTGGCTTCCTCGGCACAGCTGAATGGAGGCTGAAAAGTGATATAGTATCTCCCTGTTACTGCATCAGCATACAAGTACTACCAAGGGAAAAGAAATGCTTTAGATGAAGAATAATATTGCCACACAAACAAATAGCTCTGATGTAGCATGAATAAATTTAGTCTAGAAATTAAAAAAAGGTTTTTAAGCTTCAGAGAAGAATTTTGGAGCAGCCATCCACTTTCGGTACTGGGGAAAGAACCCAGCTATGTTTAAAATGGAGCCTGATGAAGCTTGGTAACTTTATGGATGGTGCAATATCATGAGGCTACACATGACAAGCAGAAATTGAGCTTGCAGACCTAGAAAGTCCCTTGCAAGCTCCAGGTTCCTAAATTTAACATATGTTTGCACTGTACAATTAAACCAAGCTTTCATTAAGTTGAACCCAAACATCTGTATGATGCGTACAAAAAAAAAAAAATTCTCTCTGACACATTTGTCGGTTCATTACACACAGAGCACGTTGATGGTGATTTAATTCCAGCCTCTGCGCTGACCTAGGCAGCAATCAGCTTATTTCTGGGTGAGGAGGGGTTCTGTTACCTCTCCAATACCTCTCTCATAATTCCTTCTGAAGGACAGACATTATCCTTCCAAGTGCTACACAGTATGCACCCAGACTCAGAGGAAAGTGTAGAATGAGAAAGACTTTACTACAGGAAAGTTTTGCAACAAGGTTATATTAAACTGGATGCTCAGACTAGCCTGTCTGGTTAACCCTTACAGAAATTTTCCCAATTTACAGAATTAGTTGAATTAGCCTGAAGCAGACGCTACCTTCTAAGGTCTGCTCTGCTGTTCTGGTGAGGTTTTCACATCACTTAAGGGATAGCTGAGGGGATTGTGTACCTGCTCCTCAGCCGCTAACAATTACAGAACTGTAATACTAAAGAGCGTTGACAGTTTCGGACTGAGGAGAGAATATATGCTCCACTCAACCTGCAGCAGTAAGAGGATGACATCTTCCAAAAGCAACGGATGAGTGATCACCACTGTTTGCTTGCTACTCAGGATACAGTCACTACTTGGGAATGATTACATTGAAAAGCTTGAGCTAAAACAGTCACAATTTATGAAGCTATGGCAAGTGGGGAGGAAAAAGATCCGTATTTTTTCCCAGTATGAAATTGCTTTTATGTGACTTTTCCTAACAATGCCTATAATTTTAGTCATCACTGTACAAAAGTCATTAAAAAAAACCCCAACACAGCCATACATTAAAAGAGATGAAATTACAGATCCAGGGCAGGAGATACTCCATGTCTACTTTCAGACACTTGCACTCTGTTGCCTCCCATCTCTGCTCCTGCACCTGTTTGTAGCTCCTTTGTACTGTAACCTCTTCAGGGAAATTCCCTTCCGTAATCCCTCCATAAAGTGCCTAGCACATGCTAGTTCTACATAAATAATAGGTAATAAAATGCATGCCGATTTGCCTTTTTCAGTGGAAACTACCATGTTCAGAAGCATTACAATTGCAATCCTAAGATATTCTTTTTGTTGTGATAAAAGGATGGTCACAAAAAGGGGACTACTTATGAAGATATTTCTTTATTCTATCAAGGAGACTTGCTATGGGTGACTAGAATTAAATTGCCCATGTAGCATATCTCATAACTGTATTACTGATTATGAAGACAGACAAGATTTACTGAATGCTGTATTTTCATATGTATAATACAAATATCAGATAACAATCACCCGTTTAAAAGCGCTGACCTTTGAAAAACCAAACCCTCAGATTACCTGCCCAAACTCAGAAGCAAAGTGACACCAGAGATAAAAGGATATTACTCACATGTAATCCCTTCTATTGTCTACTCATAGCTTAGAGTACCATTCCTTCAAAAAAGCTCACAGAAAAAGACGAGTGCAAGACCAGCAGGATTTGCCAAATCAAGTAAGATCAATGCTCCATCTAGTTCAGTGTCTTGAGACAGACCATATTTGATTGATCAAAGAAAGAGCAAAACCGCACAAGATGTAGACAACTGGGTTTCAATTCTGTTCACATATGGGGATTTTTTCCTTAAAAGTCATTTACTTTCTTATGACTTGGAGGACTTCTACTGTTATAAGTTTATATAAATATACAAAATGTCTTTACCTGTTCTGATGTAATTTTGAATGTCATCGTAGTCTCCAAAAGTGCTTATTTTTAAAAACCATTTGAAATGCTTAAATCTTTTTACATGGATCTTGGTGCTGTGACTTATACAGGTCAATTACACGTTCAATAAAATATTTACTCTTCCATTTGCTGTCTTTCAAATTAGTCTTTTGCTCTTACATATTTCTAAAAAGGCTTGGTCATGACTTTTCTATACTTTTCAGTGGTTTGTATCCCTCTTGTGCAAGCTCCCTTTTAGTTTTTTTCTCTTCTGTCTTACCTGTGTCTAATTGTTCCTGTTCGATCACTTTGTAGAGAAATATGCAG